AATCCCAAAAACACAAACAGACAAACAGACAGACAGGCGCCACATGACACCTGCCATTTCCTGGACGCACTGCTCGATCCTGTACGTCCTGTGCGTTTGTGAAAAAGAAGACACGGAAACACTTGGGCGAGACGAAGCAGCAACAGCACCAAGAGAGCGAGCGGGCCATGCGGCCTGCTCGTTGCGGGCCACGCACCAACGTCATCCGGGTCTAGGGGCCTGCTGGCCAATGCGGCCGACATTGGGACCCCGGCAAGAGGATTTATGCACACCCCCCTCTTCTCACCCTGACAAGCTCCTATCCTAAAGTTGGCCGTTGGTGTGTGATGCGGCGCTCGACGTGCGAGTCGGTGTGCTTGCATCGAGCATCGTCCGCACGGGAAGCAGAGTTTTGTGCGGGCGGTGTATCGCGTGCGAAATGGCCCATCTGTAGTGTCACGGTTGCGAGCTTTGTCGTGGGTGGTATCGTAGACTTTGCGCACGGCTGGACGTGAACCTAGACTTGGCCGACGTGATCTGCTGATGGCCTCATGGTGCGCTTGAATAGTGGCCTGACGGCGAGCGCATGCCTGCTGTGACGGCGTTGCGGGACATAAGGTTAGCCGTCCGTGAGGGCCACGGCGTATGATCTACTGATGCTGGCGATGGAACGAGGTTCGTCATGATGGACGACTTACGCACTCCAGGCTCATGCTGCGAGAAAGTTTCAAGTGACTCGGGCTCTGCGAATCTCTCGTGTTCGTATTACTGATCTTGGCTGCTAGTCATATGTCACTTGATGCCGAAGCCAGTTTGATTCGTGCTGCGCGTCGTTTCCAGCTTCCTGGCGATGCGCGCAAAAGGCTTGCATATTCGGTACATGTTCATGACCACAACTCGTAGGTCAGCTTGCTATGGAGACCAAAGAGCTCTGGCAAAGTCACTGAGGACATCATGAATTAGCTCGAGTGCTCTTGGAGATAAGCAGAAACAGTCTGTCACTAAGACATATCAGTCAAGCATTATGACCAAAACAATACAGCCTACGTACATTGAAAATGACTCCGTATTCTGGAGACTGGGCTGAATACACTGCAACTGCCAAAGCCGCGTCTGAAGTTTTCGAAATAAATGCATGTATTGAGTCCCTTTGTTGCTCTCAAACGCCACGCCGCAGCTTTTATCCGTCTGATGAGGAACAGGTTCGGTTAGATATCCAACGCCTTGAGTCAGATGTTGCGCATAACGAGCAAAGACTACCTGCGTGGATTTTGAAACCATTGAATAAAATCTGTGTCCTCTCAGGTCTCGTATGTCAGGTAGAATTCATGATGATCGATATTTAAGACGGCGAATTCGAAGAGGTTATGTGAAAGTTGAATAATTCAAATGTTATACAAAACGGAGTGCGTTGGTGGCGAGATTTATATTTGCAGTTCTGTTGCATATAGCTGGTGACCAATTCCACGAGACAGCACAAGAGATCCGATGATAGGAAGATGGGATAGGAGAAGGGATACGAGGAGAAAGAGACGTACTTCCTCGTGTCTCTGTAGCTGTTCTATGCCATTCTTGGAGTCGATAGAAGTCTTAGTCAATACTTCTCAAACCGTCTTGAAGGAATCAGAAGTGATAGTTCATAGCGAGAGGCAAGGCTCTACAACACGCCGTACAGCTTGTAAGATGATTGGAAGTCCAAGCTCATACGTATTACTTGCCTTATATCATGCCAATACATGAATATCCCTACCCTGATTGTAGAAGCATTGGACCACCTAGTGATCCGATACACGATACTCCGGTTATCATGTGCCCTTCCTAATGTCCCAAGGTCGTGATATCGAGTTGATGTATCAGTAGCTTCTGAAACTTCATATTGAGCTCCTTTCATCTAGGCCGGTTAATATATTGTGTTCAGTTCTATCTTGGTCTACTTCTGCCGCCTCGGCATACGCCCACAGTCACGGGCAGAAAGATCTTTACTCCAAGTAATTCTAAGTAAGTGACCTAGAAAACACGAAATCAGAGCTCGAAATCTCAGTCATATAATCTTCTACCTAGTACTTCGCCTGACGCTATGCCTGTAATACAACGCCCCCCCAAGTGCAACAGGGCCATTTCCAGTCTCACCACGGCCACCCTCAGCCACGTCGAACTAATGCTTTGATCCGTGTCACGCTGCTCATCCTCAGCTCCTAGACTTGTACACCCTTGGCAACCATGTGCTCCCCAGCACCAGCCCACGACGTGAATACAGCCTGTCAGCCGCGTGGTCACACCATGCTATTCTGCGCCGCATGCATGCATGAACTGCTAGCCCGCGGGGTCGTGGCCGTGAGGACCGTGATACGTCGGGCTAACAGCGAAGCTCGTGCGACGACACAGTGCGGTGAACTCCAAGACTACTACAAAGGATATATTGCCCCCTTGCAGAACCCCCCTCACGTTTGGAGGCAAACCAGACCCGTACCCGCACGTTCTACAATCAAGGGTCCTCCTCTCGCGGATCAAGGCGGCCACTTGACCGACACAACGTGTACTTCCACGTGCTCGACGT